CAGCCGTTTCACTAAGATGTGTTTTTTCTGCAGCTAAATGCTAAACATGATGGGGTCAGTATTCCTGTTAGAACTGGTCCGTGTTTCGGTATGTCTGGCAGAAATCCCCCATCCTGGATCCAGAGAAACTAAATTCAATTCTATTCAGTTTATTTCTATAGCTCCAATTCACATCATGTCATCTCAGGTCACTTTCCAGTTCACCAGATCATCCAGTCAGATTGATTCAAAGTTTTCTATCTAAGGAAAACCAGCTGATTGCATCGACTCATTGACTCTTCAGCAATCCCTCACACTAAGCATGCTTGTAGCGACAGTGGAGAGGAAAAACTCCCTTTGAACAGGAAGAAACCTCCAGCAGAACCAGGCTCAGTGTGAGCGGCCATCTGCTGAGGCCCACTGGGGTTCAAGGAGACAGAAGCAGACATAGAAAAAGAAGCATAGATACAAAAGGCAACTGTCAACCAGCTCCACAGGCGGCCCCGTCCAGGAAACACACAGCCAGGCAGACGAGCTCCGAGCCAGCTCCCATGTCAGAGGATGAAGAGAGCACATCCAGTTAGTCACAGTCAGAGAAACAGGACTACACTGGAAAACAGGCCAAGCTCCAACATCTAGAAACAAAGGTGTTGATGGCAGCAGCACAGCTGATATTTCTCTCCAGGATGGAGTCACAGCCAAACAGGAACAGACCAGATGAAGCTACTATGAGAAAAAGCAGAGAGAGCAGAACGTTAGAGATTGAACTAACAGATTCTGCAGAGTGGGAGAATAGAGATAGAATGAAGCAGAATGATGAAAAAGGGGTCCCTATGTCCTCCAGCAGTCTAAGCCTATAGCAGCAGAACTATAGAGATAGCTCAGGATAACCTGAGCCACTCTAACTAGAAGCTTTATCAAAAAGGAAAGTTTTAAGCCTAGCCTTAAAAGTAGACAGGGTGTCTGCCTCACGGACTAAAACTGGTAGTTGGTTCCACGGTTTATGGGAGGAAATTCCAGCATCTGACAAAAGAATGTAAAAGAAAAATCTTGTAAATATTTATTTGCTAGATTTATTCTGATCTTTATTCTAAAGGTCAACAAAGCAAAATCTCTGGCAGCTCTACTCGTCTTTAACATGGATAATTTAGCATCAGACAGTGAGAATAAATGGGAAATACTTCTTTATACAGGGTATTATTATTAAAATTTCTGCTTTCTCCTAATATGTGGAGCAAAAACAACAGTTTTCTCTGACACGGCTGCTCTGCAGTAAAAACACTCGCTGAACTTCATCATTAATGAAGAAGGATTCATTTTCAGCGGCTGTCAACAGGCAGAGGATCCACACTGAATCATCTTTACCCGCCGCGCGTCTGTTTGTCCTCAGCAGATTAATTTGAATGGAGAAGTGGCCCGTTGAAGTGAAAAGCTGTGATTGGATTAGTGATGTAATGATGTTATCTGCTTTTGCTGCTCGCTCTGCCTTTGCATGCTTGCGGGTGTGTTTCTGAGTGTGTGCTTGTTTAGCGACCTTTTCTTCGTCACCGTCTGAGGCCTTCAGGGGACTGAACCCAGTCCGGTCCTTAAGGGTCAGAGTTTAGGCCTGGGTTTAGTTTAGGGTGAAGGTTGGGGTCTTTGTAAATGCTGTCAGCAATCTGCATCAAATGTCTTCATGTGAGGATCTTTAAGTTTTTATGGATTTAATGAACATGAAGCTGTGCCGTACGATTGCTTCTGTTTCTGATTAATTAGGTAAAATCTACGAGCCGCTGTCCCATTTCCTGTTGTTTGATCTAGCTGAAAATGTTCATGTGCAATTATCTCTATCTCTATAGATAAAGTGGCAAATTACAGCTCTGAACTAATTGTGGTTTCTGATTTACATGTGTTTGAACTGAGTCAAGTCTGATATGGCAGCCTGTTGAGTGTCGAGCAGAGATCCGGTTTTTATATTTAAAAGAACGAACACCAGATAACTAACAGTAGCAACCATTCAAAATGGCCGTTCCCAGTCAAAAGCCAGCAGAATGGCAGCAAAATCCCCTCCAACTTCCAGCCACTGCAGTGACCTCTTCTTGCATTTTTCTTGACTCTGACTTTCACTGAATTACAGGGTCTGACCAGGAGATGGCGCTGCTCTTTAGATCTTAATGTCCACAAATCATGACCGAAATAATATTTTAGATGTTTAATAAGGACCAGCCAAAGACCAGCCAAGGATCTGCCAAGGACCAGCCAAGGATCAGCCAAGGACCAGCCAAGGACCAGCCAAAGACCAGCCAAGGATCTGCCAAGGACCAGCCAAGGATCAGCCAAAGACCAGCCAAGGATCTGCCAAGGACCAGCCAAGGATCTGCCAAGGACCAGCCAAGGATCTGCCAAGGACCAGCCAAGGACCAGCCAAAGACCAGCCAAGGATCTGCCAAGGACCAGCCAAGGATCAGCCAAAGACCAGCCAAGGATCTGCCAAGGACCAGCCAAGGATCTGCCAAGGACCAGCCAAGGATCTGCCAAAGGCCAGCCAAGGATCTGCCAAAGGCCAGCCAAGGATCTGCCAAGGACCAGCCAAGGATCAGCCAAAGACCAGCCAAAGACCAGCCAAGGATCTGCCATGAACCAGCCAAGGATCAGCCAAAGACCAGCCAAGGATCAGCCAAGGACCAGCCAAGGATCTGAAAAGGACCAGCCAGGGATCTGCCAAGGACCAGCCAAAGACCGGCCATGAACCAGCCAAGGACCAGCCAAGGATCTGCCAAAGACCAGCCAAGGATCTGCCAAGGATCTGCCAAGGATCTGCCAAGGACCAGCCAAGGATCAGCCAAGGATCTGCCAAGGACCAGCCAAGGATCTGCCAAGGACCAGCCAAGGATCAGCCAAGGATCTGCCAAGGACCCATCAAGGAAAGTGGGGAATTTTGAATGGCAATCACTATATGGTGGTGATTCTCCCTTCATATGACCTTATGAAACGCTTTACAATGTCATATAATGGGGCATCATCAATATTAGTTTCTTTTATTTCATTAAAAGTCTCCCATGGTGTGCAGATCACTGCTCCACACTCAACTCAGATTTCTCTCAGTTCAAAGTTATTTTGGTATCTATGTTGTTTGGGGTTTGAGTTCGTCCACTTCTTCCGCTGTGATATGGCGCTGTAACGCACAGCAACAGGGCTCCACAGCGCCATCTGCCAGGGCAGCGGTGCACAGGTAACCCATTCTCTCTCATTGTTTTGGGCAAGGTTTTGTTTTTTTTATTTTTACCCCCCACACCCCTATTAAAGATTGAATATTTATCTTGCACATATAAAATATATAATAATTTATTTAGAAATATTTCAAGTTCATAGTTTAATTTCTATTTATTTATTTCTTACATCTTAATCAAGGTCACTGGATGATTGGATCGACACCCTAGCGCCCTCTATTGGCCAGCCGCCACTGCTTAGAGATGGTTTTCACCGTAAATCTAAAGCTCCATTCAATATTTTCTTACTGCACAAAAATTGTGAAAAATAAACCAAAACAATTACATTTCGTTTGTCATTGATTATTAGCTAACATTAGCTATCTTTTTGTTTTCACATAAGCTAGCTTTGTAAAACCTGAGCTGTACCCGCTCTTGCAGCACTGCATGAAGCTGACTCACTGTGTTCCTGACTTATTTGAGGATAATAAAGATGGAAATGATGAGGTGCATGTAGAACAAAACATGGCAGACAACTACTAGGCTTAAAACTTTCCTTTTTGATAAAGCTTCTAGTTAGAGTGGCTCAGGTTATCCTGAGCTATCTCTATAGTTCTGCTGCTATAGGCTTAGACTGCTGGAGGACATAGGGACCCCTTTTTCATCATTCTGCTTCATTCTATCTCTATTCTCCCACTCTGCAGAATCTGTTAGTTCAATCTCTAACGTTCTGCTCTCTCTGCTTTTTCTCATAGTAGCTTCATCTGGTCTGTTCCTGTTTGGCTGTGACTCCATCCTGGAGAGAAATATCAGCTGTGCTGCTGCCATCAACACCTTTGTTTCTAGATGTTGGAGCTTGGCCTGTTTTCCAGTGTAGTCCTGTTTCTCTGACTGTGACTAACTGGATGTGCTCTCTTCATCCTCTGACATGGGAGCTGGCTCGGAGCTCGTCTGCCTGGCTGTGTGTTTCCTGGACGGGGCCGCCTGTGGAGCTGGTTGACAGTTGCCTTTTGTATCTATGCTTCTTTTTCTATGTCTGCTTCTGTCTCCTTGAACCCCAGTGGGCCTCAGCAGATGGCCGCTCACACTGAGCCTGGTTCTGCTGGAGGTTTCTTCTTGTTCAAAGGGAGTTTTTCCTCTCCACTGTCGCTACAAGCATGCTTAGTGTGAGGGATTGCTGAAGAGTCAATGAGTCGATGCAATCAGCTGGTTTTCCTTGGATAGAAAACTTTGAATCAATCTGAGAAACATTTTCAAACTTGGAAACAAAGTGGATTGATTAGTTTTTTTACTTTTTTGAAATGATGTTTTCTTCATATTCCTGTCGCTGAATTTGTGGGTCAAAATAAAAGAAAAAAGAAGGAAATTGGGATTCAACAATGTGAGAGATCTTGGTGCTGGTGGTTAAATCTTTGCTCAGATCCTGTTTCCTCTGGTGGAACCGAGTTCCTCAAAATCTTCAGAGTCCCACAGGAAACATGGCCGCCACGGCCGCCTTTCCAGAGCAGGAATGCTGCAGGATGCCCGCTCTGGTCCAATGAAGTCAGGAGGATGCCAGAGCTCTCTCTGCATGGCAGGATAACAACAGGCCTGATTCCTGGATTAGCAGAAACTAAAACTACAACAGAGAGGAGGAAGTGAAAGTGAGAGCTGCCTTCATCTTGTGTTCAGCAGCTTTTCTTTAAAGTTATTAAAGGTCAAAGAGAAGAATTTGTTTTTTTCTGTTAAGTTGACTTGAAGTTTAGTGTGAACGCCCAGCCGTAGCAGCGAAAGGAGGCTAAACTTGAGCAGGACTTCCATCGGAATCAGTGCGGAGCTCAAAATGTCTGACAGAGCAATCTGCAGAGAAAGGAGACTGCTGGAAACACCCAAATCCTTCATCAGCAACAGGCTGAACCAGCCTGAGACAGGCAGAGAGGCTCTTCCTGCTCTGCTGCAGCCGCCTGCAGGGGAGGAGGAGGAGGGGGGGGGCTGTGATGGGAGGAGAGACGCCTGTTTGCTCCTCTCTTCAGCAGGGGATGATGGGAGGAGGAGGAGGAGGGGTCTGGATCTGGAGATGGAGGGCTGTCAGGAATGTGGGAGAGCAAGCAGACATGCAGCGAGTGAGGAGTCGAGCTGCTCCAACTAAATTTAACAATGAGAGTCCAGAGGCAGTTTAAATTTAGTTTGCAGCTTCAGTCTGAGCTGCTGCTGCTGCTGCAGTTATTCTCACCCACCGGCTGAGAAAATTATCTTCAACAAGGGTTGGGATGATATTTTGGTTTAATTTCTTCCTCTAATACATTTAGATTTTCCTCCCAGGCTGCAAACATCCTGTAGCCAGCGCTGAGGCTCGCTCTGGAGCTTTTTCTGCACTTATTCTGTGCAGCAGGCAGGGATGAGATGAAGCACGCTGCGACTAGAAAGTCCAGCAGTAACTCCAGGAAACGCCACATTACTGAGGACATCAAGAACAAAGAACTGCTGCAAGAAGTCCCTGCAAAGACGAGGGCCCTCAGAGCAAAGCTCTGCTAGAACTTATCCAGATGTTTTCAGGGTTTTGCAGCTGGATTTAACGAAATCAGGAAGTTTAATGTAACATGAGTCAATGTCACATGACTCAGTGAAATCAGGTGAAAAATAAGAGAATTTATTTTAAAAAAAATGTTTAAAAACTGTTGGATTAACTTCTTGATAACAATTTAATGCATAGAAATATTTTAAGGACATCATTAAAGATTTATTTTTTATTATAAATACTGAACACCCGATGGAATGTACATTTATTTTATTTCATGATTTAATTTCTCTCAAATATAACTAAAGAAACCTTAAAATCTTCTATTGTGAACATTTGGGACATATATTATCAGTCTAGAATGATGTTTATGTCTAATGTCAACATTCACACATCATTCATTCATTTTCCATCATTTTGCATTTAAACATTAAAAAATCTACAAATACAAAACACAAAGACAGCATCCGAATGAATGAATGAATGAATGAATGAATGAATGAATGAATAAACCTTCAGAAAAACCTGCTTGATAGAACATTAGGATAGTGGATGGACAGGATGGATGATTCATCCATCCTGTCCATCATTCATCCATCCATCAATCTGGCCCAGTCATTCATCATTCATTCATGGATGAAAAAATGATGAATGGATGATGAATGGATGATGGGTGGATGATGGATGGATGGATGGATGGATGAATGATGGATGGATGGATGATTCATCCATCCATCCATCATTCATCCATCCATCAATCTGGCCCAGTCATTCATCATTCATTCATGGATGAAAAAATGATGAATGGATGATGGGTGGATGATGGATGGATGGATGGATGGATGGATGGATGGATGGATGGATGATGGATGGATGGATGGATGGATGGATGGATGAATGAATGAATGATGGATGGATGATTCATCCATCCATCATTCATCCATCCATCATCCACCCATTCATCAATCTGGCCCAGTCATTCATCATTCATTCATGGATGAAAAAATGATGAATGGATGATGAATGGATGGATGGATGGATGGATGATGGATGGATGGATGAATGATGGATGGATGATTGATGGATGGATGATGGATGGATGGATGAATGAATGAATGGACGGATGGATGGATGGATGATGGATGGATGGATGGATGAATGATGGATGGATGGATGATTGATGGATGGATGGATGGATGAATGAATGGATGAATGGATGGATGATGGATGGATGGATGGATGGATGAATGATGGATGGATGAATCATCCATCCATCCATCATCCATCCATCCATCCATCCGTCCATTCATTCATTCATCCATCCATCCATCATCCATCCATCAATCATCCATCCATCCATCCATCCATCCATCATCCATCCATCCATCATCCATCCATCCATCCATCCGTCCATTCATTCATTCATCCATCATCCATCCATCAATCATCCATCCATCATTCATTCATTCATCCATCCATCCATCATCCATCCATCAATCATCCATCCATCATTCATCCATCCATCCATCCATCATCCATCCATCCATCCATCCATCCATCCATCCGTCCATTCATTCATCCATCCATCCATCATCCATCCATCCATCCATCCGTCCATTCATTCATCCATCCATCCATCCATCCATCCGTCCATTCATTCATTCATCCATCCATCCATCATCCATCCATCAATCATCCATCCATCATTCATCCATCCATCCATCCATCCATCCATCATTAATCCATCCATCCATCCACCCATTCATCAATCTGGCCCAGTCATTCATCATTCATTCATGGATGAAAAAATGATGAATGGATGATGAATGGATGGATGGATGGATGGATGGATGATGGATGGATGGATGGATGGATGAATGATGGATGGATGATTGATGGATGGATGATGGATGGATGGATGAATGAATGAATGGACGGATGGATGGATGGATGATGGATGGATGGATGGATGGATGGATGAATGATGGATGGATGATTGATGGATGGATGGATGGATGAATGAATGGATGAATGGATGATGGATGGATGGATGGATGGATGGATGATGGATGGATGATTGATGGATGGATGATGGGTGGATGATGGATGGATGGATGGATGGATGAATGGATGGATGATGGATGGATGGATGAATGGATGGATGGATGGATGGATGATGGATGGATGGATGGATGAATGAATGGATGGATGGATGATGGATGGATGATTGATGGATGGATGGATGAATGAATGGATGGATGATGGATGGATGATTGATGGATGGATGGATGTATGGTTGGATGGATGGATGGATGGATGAATGGATGGATGGATGATGGATGGATGGATGATGGATGGATGATTGATGGATGGATGGATGAATGAATGAATGGATGGATGGATGATGGATGGATGATTGATGGATGGATGGATGGATGGATGGATGAATGGATGGATGGATGGATGGATGGATGGTTGGATGGATGGATGAATGGATGTATGGATGATGTATGGATGGATGAATGAATGGATGGATGGATGATGGATGGATGATTGATGGATGGATTAGTGATGGGTGAATGATGGATGGATGATGGATGTTTCTGTTTAAATCAGATGTTTTACAGGAACAGTCGTTACTTCTGGTTTTAATTTCTATGTTCAGGTGAACTTCTATATTTTTCTACCAGACTCTGATGAGCTCCGCTCTTTCTGTCCAACCAGGAAATGTTGCTACTTTCTCAACCCTCAGGAAGGAGGTTCATTTTAGGCTTAGATTTTACTTTCTAGAAGTTACCTTGCTCTGTCCTGCTGAGAACAGAAACAGTCAAACAGCATCTGAAGACTTTAAGCAGAAGCAGTTCTGGCTGCTGCTTCGCCTAAATGATCTGGACACGTTTTTCCTGGTGGAAAACAGAGCAGGGAGAGACGGACCCTCCCTGGTGTGGAACCAGTAGCGCTCCCCCCTCAGGCTGACGGTTGGCATCCTCTCCAGATCCTGAGATAACAACCCCTCCCAGCACTGGGTTTGGTGCTTTCCTTATCTTTCAAATGCCTTAATGGTGAAATAAAAGCTTCATCCCGACTTCCTTTATTATTATTATTATTACCTCTGCAGAGAGAGCAAGCCAGACTGGGCTAACTATGGGAATATTTCACTTTTATTATGTTTAAAAGGACTTTTCTCATTGAGAGGTGGTTTAACTCTGTTTATTAGAGGGTGGGGATCCAGACAGTTAGGTCCAAATTTAAAATGTTTAACTATTAGAAATATACATTTTATATCAAATTGATAAATAGGTTAAAATATGTCTCAATATTGACGTTAAACATATACAGTGACAGAAACAGAATATTACAGCTCCATTTTCATTGGGTAGGCAGAGACAGGTAGGGAGCCTTTTGAACAGAGAAGACAACACATAAAACAGACCCATTCTACAGATAGAGACATTTTTATAGAATAGACATCCATTGTTTGAAATTCATATATAATATACATCATTTGCAAAAAAATGTGTTTTTCCTCCATCCTCTACCTCCCTCTATAACATTAACACATTAAAGTCGCAGGGAAGCGGCTGTTCCAACGAGAATAAAGTCGCAAACAGAATTATAATGTAATTACAACAATAAAGTGACAATGAGAATAGTCATGAAATTGAGAGAATAAAGTCATAATATTGCGAGAAAGAAGTTGTATTTTCTGACATCTCTTCCTAGAAGCCCTTTCTTCCCTAAAGTGAGGAATGTGGAGCATCATGGGAAGTTCTACTTTAGCATCGGTTTGACAAATCAGGAAATCTTTTAGCAGCAGCATCAAACTGGGCAGGATGTCAAAGTGGACTCTGGTTGCTGATTGGTGGAGCTGGTCGGCCGTCATCTGCTGGGCGGAGCTCCAAGCTTTCTCTCTGAAACGGGTTGCTGTATGATGAATTTATTCTCGTAATATTACGACTTTTTCTTGTAATTTTAAGACTTTGTTCTCGTAATCTTATGACTTTATTCTAATAATGTTATGACTTTATTCACATAATTTTATTTATGACTTTATTCTTGTAATGTTACAACTTCATTATTGTAATTTCACGACTTTATTCTTGTAATGTAACAACTTTATTTTCGTAATGTTACGACCTTATTCTCGTAATGTTACGACTTTATTCTTGTAATGTTACAACTTCATTATTGTAATTTTACAACTTTATTCTTGGAATGTTATGACTTTATTCTCGTAATTTTACGACTTTATTCTTGTTATTTTAGGACTTTATTCCTGTTAATGTAACAACTTTATTTTGTAATGTTACGACCTTATTCTCGTAATGTTACGATTTTATTCTTGTAATGTTACAACTTCATTATTGTAATTTCACGACTTTATTTTTGTAATGTTATGACTTTATTCTCGTAATTTTACGACTTTATTCTTGTAATTTTACGACTTTATTCTTGTAATGTAGCAACTTTATTTTCGTAATGTTACGACCTTATTCTCGTAATGTTACAACTTTATTCTAATCTTTTTACGGCTATTCTTGTAATGTTATGACTTTATTCTTGTTATTTTACGACTTTATTCTCGTAATGTTACGACTTTGTTCTCGTAATGTTACGACTTTATTTTCATCATTTTACGACTTTATTTTCATGATGTTATGACTTTATTCTTGTAATTTTACGACTTTATTCTTGTAATGTAACAACTTTATTTTCGTAATGTTACGACCTTATTCTCGTAATGTTACGACTTTATACATGTAATGTTACAACTTCATTATTGTAATTTTACAACTTTATTCTTGTAATGTTATGACTTTATTCTCGTAATTTTACGACTTTATTCTTGTAATGTTACAACTTCATTATTGTAATTTTACAACTTTATTCTTGTAATGTTATGACTTTATTCTCGTAATTTTACGACTTTATTCTTGTTATTTTACGACTTTATTCCTGTTAATGTAACAACTTTATTTTGTAATGTTACGACCTTATTCTCGTAATGTTACAACTTTATTCTAATCTTTTTACGGCTATTCTTGTAATGTTATGACTTTATTCTTGTAATTTTACGACTTTATTCTCGTAATGTTACGACTTTGTTCTCGTAATGTTACGACTTTATGTTCATAATTTTACGACTTTATTTTCGTGATGTTATGACTTTATTTTTGTAATTTTACGACTTTATTCTTGTAATGTAACAACTTTATTTTCGTAATGTTACGACCTTATTCTCGTAATGTTACGACTTTATACTTGTAATGTTACAACTTCATTATTGTAATTTTACAACTTTATTCTTGTAATGCTATGACTTTATTCTCGTAATTTTACGACTTTATTCTTGTAATGTAACAACTTTATTTTTGTAATGTTACGACCTTATTCTCTTAATGTTACGATTTTATTCTTGTAATGTTACAACTTCATTATTGTAATTTCACGACTTTATTCTTGTAATGTTATGACTTTATTCTCGTAATTTTATGACTTTATTCTTGTAATTTTACGACTTTATTCTTGTAATGTAGCAACTTTATTTTCGTAATGTTACGACCTTATTCTCTTAATGTTACAACTTTATTCTAATCTTTTTACGGCTATTCTTGTAATGTTATGACTTTATTCTTGTAATTTTACGACTTTATTCTCGCAATGTTACGACTTTGTTCTCGTAATGTTACGACTTTATTTTCATCATTTTACAACTTTATTTTCGTGATGTTATGATTTATTCTTGTAATTTTACGACTTTATTCTCGGCGTATTATGACTATTCTTGTAATGTTACGACTTCCTTTTCGTGATGTTATGACTTTATTCTTGTAATTTAATGACTTTATTCTCGCCGTATTATGACTATTCTTGTAATGTTACGACTTTATTTTCGTGACGTTATGACTTTATTCTTGTAATTTTATGACTTTAGTCTTATAATTTTACGACTTAATTCTCGCCGTATTATGACTATTCTTGTAATGTTACGACTTCCTTTTCGTGATGTTATGAGTTTATTCTTGTAATTTTACGACTTTATTCTCGGTTTATTATGACTATTCTTGTAATGTTACGACTTTATTTTCGTGACGTTATGACTTTATTCTTGTAATTTTATGACTTTAGTCTTATAATTTTACGACTTAATTCTCGCCGTATTATGACTATTCTTGTAATGTTACGACTTTATTTTCGGGATGTTATGAGTTTATTCTTGTAATTTTACGACTTTATTCTCGCCGTATTATGACTATTCTTGTAATGTTACGACTTTATTTTCGTGACGTTATGACTTTATTCTTGTAAATTTATGACTTTATTCTCGCCGTATTATGACTATTCTTGTAATGTTACGACTTTATTTTCGTGATGTTATGACTTTATTCTTGTAATTTTACGATTTTATTCTGGAAACAGAAGAAAAAACAAATCTTTTTAAATAAGGATTTTTTTTTTTATAGATTTTTTTTATTTATTTTGGGACAACATGGTCTGATAAAGAGTAGATTTCTATACATTTTTGAGCCAGAATGATTTTCCATCTAAAGATGACTTTAAAGTGAGTTTTGGTGAGCCCCCTCCCCCTGCTGAAACTTCCTGGATTCGCCCCTGGAGTAACGTGTGTCCGTGCGTAAAGGCAGAGATGCTTGGTGGCCACGTCCCCTTGGAGACAGAGAGACAGACACGTGATGAGCTTTACTGATCAGGTTCAGAGGCAGAGATACACACGGAGAGAGACAGGCCGGGGCACGGAGCCTGGAGCCCGGCCACCACTTCAGCCAACCTCCGGAGCACCACCGACACTTTGAGAGTTGACTTCGCCTTGTTTGTTTCCTCTGAGAGGAGGAGGAGGAGGAGAGGAGGAAGAGAAGCAGAGGAGGAGGAGAGAGGAGGAGGAGGAGAAGCCGGAGTAAAGTTTGTCCAAGTTTGCACATCCCTTCGGAAACGCCATTTTGATTCCTCTCCTCTTCGGAGCGACTTTGCAGCCTCTTCCTCCTTTCTTCTTCTTCTTCTTTTTGTTTTTTTTTTTTAACTTCATCTCCCCCCCACCAACCCCCCTCCTCGCTACCCACCCTCATCATCATCATCATCATCATCCTCCTCGCCACGATGTCTCGGCGCAAGCAGCCCAACCCCAACAAACTCCGCGGTAAGTCCTCCGACCTGATGCCCGTTTCTGAGCAACAAGTTCCGCCGCGGACTCAAAGTTTGTGAGCTCCGGGCAGCCGGAGGGGGAGCGGGGGGAGACGGGAGGAGGCGGAGGGGGAGGGAGGTTTTTTTTCTCTCTCCTCTCCGCGTTGCTTCCTAGTTTGATGCGCATCCGAGCGGAGGAATTCAGCTCCTCTTCCGCCTCCTCCTCATCCACCCGCGGCTCATTTACAAAAAACTTTTTCATCTTTTTCACGCGCTTTAGCTCAACTTTTATCAGCCGTTTGCACTTTTTTTCCCTGGCGGTTATTTTCCGCCGCGCGGTAGGGGGGTGAAGCGGGGAGGAAGGTGATTAAGGTGGGGGGGTCAAAGTCTGCTCTCTGCCGGAGGCGAGCATCCATATCTGGGTGCACTTTGGTCCGAGCCTCGCTGCTAGTGGCCATGTGTAAAGCTATCGGTCCCACACAGCGAGCTGAAAGCTAGCTAACGGCTAGCCGACTCCCATTTCCTGTCAGCGCTTTCAAAATAAAACACCTGTTGCTGCTTAATGTCCCCAGCATAAAATCCAAGGGATTTTTTTGCTAATATATCTTGTACATAGTTATACAACTACAAGTTCTGATAGTTTTAGGAATTAAATTCAGTAGTGCGTGTTTCTAAATTAATATATTTTTAATCAGTTTTATGTTTTCGGCTTTGTTTACCTGATCTCTCATCGATAAATCACACAGATCTATTATTAAAACAAAATCATATAAATAGGTTATTACTTTATCTATGATAGAGAAGCCTTTTTTTCTAGACTGAAAAAAATGCAAATTAAGCATAGTTGGTTACTTTAACACAATCATTTAATATAATACACTGCTAACATGTAACAATTAAGTAGCTAAATATTATTAAGTAAATGCCTAAATTATTTTTTTCAATGTTTTTCCGGACCTAAAGTCTTTTTTTAGTTGTTTTCTTTAAAAAAAATTCAAATGTGCCTCTCTGATCACAATCAATTGCATCTCTGTTTTCTTAATAGGTTATCTGGTGTTATTAAAACTGTCAGAGGGGCGAATAAACACGTTTAGGTTTATACAAATGTAGGTTTAGAGTTGGTGTGTAGCTGCCTGGAGTCATTATAGGACGTTTAAAGGGTTTTCAAAGATTTTCATGACTTTAACTAACAATATTTCTATAAGAAAACACAACAAAAATCTTCCTTTTATTTTGGGCTGTTTGTTTTTAAGTATATTGGATGTCTAACATTTAAAAAGTTGTTGTAATTGTGGATGTTTTGTTGTATCTGTTGAGTTTCACCGGTGGATTGTTTGCGTTTTATTTTGAAATCGGACTAGTCGCTTCCGGTTGTGTTTTGGCTAACTGTGTGTAGCTTGACCGAGTTGTTTGACCTTGCCCGGACATATTTGGCCCTAAATCCAGCCTGGTTCATTTATAAACCGCTCCGGTAGAGTCGGTGAAGCTCTGCCCGGTGCTTAGCGGCAGGTTTTGCGGTAGTTTAGTGACTTTTCTTCGTGTTTCTGCTACTTTTTTTTCCCACCGCAGCAGCAGCATCGACGTGACGCCTGTTGCTGCATCCTCCTCCTCCTCCTCCTCCTTTCTGTCTCTCCTCATCTCTCTTCTCTGTAACTTGACTTAAACCAGTTAAACCAGTTTAGTTTCCCACCCTGCGCCCATTTCAGAGCCGTTAGCTCCAGCCGTGGTGGAGGATGCTCTGCCCTAACTGGGCCAAAGAGTCCCTTATCGCTGAGCGGGTCAATGATTGACGGCCTGGGTTTGGGTTTGGCCCCCGGGGAGCCGCGGTGGTGTCTGAGGGCCGCACCGGTTAGATACTGGATTCAACCTGAGGAGGCTGCAGGAAACACAGAAACATGGAGGAAAAGTTCGCTTTAAAACCTGCAGAGCTCAGATGCTCTGACCGCTTCTTTTTCATTAAGTAAAAAAAACAACAACAAACAAAGTCATGTTTTTAAGACAGTAGTTTAAAATAAAACCTGCAGAGCCTCAGAATCAGGGGCGGATTTAGGAAATATGGGGCCCTAGGCAAAGACGGGCAGGGGGCCCTCTGAATAGACAACCCAACATAGAGAAATTTTAATAGAATAGACATGTTTTGTACTCAGCTGACTTTTCATGCTGTCTCTAAAGGAATGAAAGATTTTTTCCAAGCACTAAGCTCACTTAGCTGATTGCTCCTTCCTGTGTTTCCAAAAAGGCCAAAGTAAATAACCCAGTCCTTCTTTTCACTGTAGACAAGCCATGATCTGCTTCTCTGTTCTCCATTTTTCATTTGGATGAAATAATAGCTGCATGAATCATGACAGCAGACAAGATAGAGGAGAGCAGGAGGCGGGGTTACCAATCTACTCGCTCTGGAGAGCAGAGTTCGCTGCTTTTAGATGTTGTCTCCAAAGTCTCCAGTAGCAGAAAAAAGTCTCTAGATTTGGCGCTAGGAGCTTTTTAGAAATCAAAGTGCTAGAGGGGTCTGAAAAGTGGCTAAATATAGCGACTAAAGCGCTAAGTTGGCAACACTGCTCTTTGCATGGTTTGTTTTCAAATGGTTTGCTGCTGTCTGTTTGGACCTTTCTGAACATGTGCAGCAAATGGACTGATCCAATATGGTGGACACTGAAGGGGGGGGCTGAGACACACTTAATATTATCAGCGTTCTGATGGCATTTTAGTTAAAAACATAATTAATGTGCACAAATAAGGAATAGTTGCATTAACCATTCATGGAAACAGAGTTTTATGGGGCCCCCAGGAAGTTGGGGCCCTAAGCAGCTGCCTCTTATTGCCTAATGGAAAATCCCCTGCAATAGAAGATTTTTTAAAATCTATTTTTATGTATCTATCTCTACAGTTCTGCTGCTATAGGCTTAGACTGCTGGAGGACATAGGGACCCCTTTTTCCTCATTCTGCTTCATTCTATCTCTATTCTATATTTGATCTGTTTGCAGCCAGATGGATTTATTTAAAACCTGCTTCTTAGCAGCTGACGTCACGATGTTTACAGTTCTGCCTGGTTTCTGTGGATTTAACGGGTTGTGACGTTATAAGGAAGGTGTTTTTTTTCGTGCATGTCTGCATCAATGAATCGGATGAAAGGAGGAGCTGTTGACGGTTCTTCAGGTCTCGGTTGTTTAAATCTGGAAATCAGAACAAACCAGAAAGTTTGATGAAAACTATTCTCTGAACCGTGTTGTTCCTCTTTTTCTCCTGCAGCGTCTCTTTTTTTAAGTTTTGGTTTATGTTTTCGATGGATCCGTCCTGTATTGTTGTGCTGGAACCCCTGAACATGTTGGTGTTTACGGTTGGAGAAGCCGCTGTGGGGCGGGTTCTGCTCAGCAGCTGCAGATGGACTTGGTTATTTTTGATGGATGCAGGAGAGCGGCTCCATGCTGCAGGAGGAGCCCATTATTCCAGGTGGACCAGCTGCCTCCCGGGTGCAGCTTGCCTGGGATGATCTCCTCTCATGCTTCTGGTCCTCCTCCACCTCCTGCTGCTGAGGAAGAGGAGGAGGAGGAAGGATCCGGATGAGCAGTTAGCATTCCATTACGAAATTCAACACTGAGGCCGAGCTGGGCCCTCAGCGACAGGCGCTGATCTCTCTCCCGGGCAGGACGGGCGGGGGGGGGTTTGACTGCGGGTGGAGGAGCAGCAGCTGGAGGCGGGTCTTCAGATGGAGATGGAGACGGTCGGGGGAGGGACGGGCTGTGTTAATCACAGCATCAAAGTGGATGTGGATTCCTCCCGTGGGTTTGGATGCTGGAAAGTTCGCCTGGAGTTTCATCATCTGGTGGTTAGATCCAGCCTGAAACCAGTCAGTAGCTGCAGGACACAAACTGGAAAAACTAGAAATCTGCAGCGTATTTCTCAGGAGAGCAGGATTAGAGGAGGCTCCCTCTGCAGACGTCTAAATCCCACCTGCATCAGTGCGAGCTGCAGCTCACAGGGAGCGGGGAAGGTCTTCTTTTTGTCCTCCTAAATCAAAGCGTCCTCCTCCTCCACTGCGTCTGCAGCCTTTAACACGTCCTGTGATGTATATGGGATGATGTGTGGCCCTCCGACGCACAAAGGGCGCGTTGTGTTCCCGGCGTTCCCTGTTGGGAGCCGTGTTTGTGGGAATGGCTTCCTCACAGCCTGCAGTCAGAGTCAAGTAAAGACATGATGCAGCATGAAGCCCAGGATGCTTGTACAGGTGGGGGGGGAGCCAACAGACTGTGACTCTGCTTTATCTTCATCATCATCCCTCCTGCTGCTGCTGCTGCTGCTGCTGCCCACATATTTAGGCTTCAAGCCTTTGGCCAAATATGTCAATTATTAGTCAATAATACGACAGAATATTAGGGCCAAGCTAGAGATTTTTACAATTTTCACTTTAGTACGAGAATAAAGTCGTAACATTACAAGATTAAGTCGTAACAATTATGAAAATAAAGTCGTAAAAAACTGTGAAAATAATTTTTAGGACTTTATTTTCATAAAGTCGTAAACATTACGAACATAAAGTTCATAAAAATTGCGAAAAAATAAAGTCATAACATCACGAGAATAAAGTCGCAATGAGAATAGTCATAACATTATGAGAGAAGTTGTTTTTCAACTTTATTATTCTAATTTTATTACTTTATTCTCGTTATGTTGGAACTTTATTCTCGTAATATCGCAACTTTATTTTCGTAATGTCGCAACTTTATTCTCATAATGTTGCAACTTTATTCTCGTAATATCGCAACTTTATTCTCGTAATGTTGCAACTTTATTCTCGTAATATCGCAACTTTATTCTCGTAATGTCGCAACTTTATTCTCGTAATGTCGCAACTTTATTCTCGTAATGTCGCAACTTTATTCTTGTAATGTTGCAACTTTATTCTTGTTATGTTGGAACTTTATTTTCGTAATATCACAACTTTATTCTCATAATGTTGCAACTTTATTCTCGTAATATCTCAACTTTACTCTCGTAATATCGCAACTTTATTCTCG